GCCCTCTGGCGTCCCAAGCCAGCTCTTAACCAATGTGCCACTTGGCCGGCCCCCCCCCAATAAAATCTTTAAAAATAAAAACTAAAAAAATAATAATAATAAAAATAAAAATAGGTAAGTTGTGTAGCCGAAGCCACCTTGAGGCCATAGGCTGTCCGTCACTGTTCATTTCTGCTTTGCCTGCATTGCCCTCCTGACTGTCCCTCCCTGCTGCCTGCAGGGCCCCTCCCCTTTACCCCATCAGTGTCTCCCCAGGCCCCCAGACTCCAGACCTCTGAAACCCGTCTAAGTACCTGAAAAGGCTGTACCTTTTACCCCTCCCTCTATGTACCCCACAGTTTAAAACAAGGGCCCAGAAATCACTCAGGAGACTTGCCCACCCCTGGGGTCCACATGTACGCCTTGTGTCAGGAAACCAGACAGGCGACCACAGGGCACTTTCCACTGTGACAAGGGCATGGGCTCTAAAATGTCTGGGTGGGCCCCGCAGCCACACTGAGGAGAGAGACATGAATGGTGACAATGGTAGCAAGGTCTGTAGAGCAAATGGAATGTCTTCTGTCCAGCCAGCCTGGGGAAGAGGCGGGCGGTACACAGAGCAGGCGTCCCCTTGTTCACCGATGTCTCTGTGCCTCCCAGCCTTCCCTTCTGAGAGCTGCACTGCCTTTTCTCACAGGTGCGTTGGCTCTAGCTGACAGGAAGAATTTCTGGTCCAGCTGGAAGTGAGACGAGGGGAGTGAGTCTCCTGAGGGCCATCCACGAGGCCACCAGGATCACCGAACAGTAAGAAATGCTTCTCCGTCCTTTAACACATAGTTAAACTCTCCAGGCAGATTATCTTTTCTTCTGAAAGGCTTGCGAACCAGCCCAGCACGTTAGCTGACACTTGGCATGTACAGCCCTGGAAAGTACAACACTGTATTGTTTTTTCATGTCTTTCCTCCCAGAGGACAGGACAAGGGCTTGGCCTTCTCTACATACACCTCTCCTTTCTTCTACGCATTCTGTGAACAGTAAATTGCTGTGGATACAGATGGATGGGCTGCTGCTCACATCCATGATGAGGATAACATTTGTGCAGCCCTCTGGAGCAAGCATTAGCACCTGAGAATCCCTTAGGGGTGTTTGTTTAAAAAAGCAGTGCCTCGACCTCACACCAGAGATCCTGATTCATGAGTCCAGGTGAAGACCCAGGAGTGATGATCATGGAGGAAGCTGCATCCCAGGTGTTTCTGATGAACTCTGAGAAATCATTCTTTAGAATGTGGAAAGCATTTTGAATAGAGAATCTCATTTAATCCTCTTATCAGATAAGGTTTTTAAAATCCCCTTAAGTAACTTCATGATCTCCAAGACGCAGGTATCAGCCTAGGGAGGGATTTAGAAATCCAGCTATCCAAAACAACCCTTTTTTCTTTCCAGTATGCCGTAAGGGCTGGATCTGTTAGGGTCCAACTTCAAAGGACACTGCCCAGGATTTTGTAAGTGTCCCTGATGCCTAAGGGCCACCGTGACTTTATAGTTCATCAGCCTTCATTGCGGGGGTAGTAATCTTTGCCAGGTTCCTCACAAGAGCTGGTTCCCCTGGAGAGAGGGAGAGGGAGAGGGAGACAGTTGACCAGAAAGGTAAATGTTCGTGGGCCTGGCTCTCAAGCAGGTAGTTAGTGAAGCCACGGATATTTGAGAGGACCACCTGTCCGAGAGTGGCAGAACTGTCCAGCAATGGCTGTCCTCTCCCTGTGCCCCTTGTTGTTTGGGGAGCTCTGTGTTCTCGGTATATTAGGGGTGGGGACCATGCTGTAGCTCCGAGAGCTGAGAGCCAGAGACAAGTGCATGCACAGAGGGGCCAAGGCTTCAGTACTGTAGATTGGGCAATGCCCACTGCGGAAACAGGTTGACAAACTTTTCAACAACCTTTGGAGCCTGTGTGCACAGTGATGTTGAAGGGAGTTCACTGCAGACAATGGCTGTGGTGGAGGCTTGAAGAAGATGGGGGGATGCTGGAGTCCAAACAGGCCAGACAGTGCCCAAGGGCATGCAGGTGCCCCCTGCACCTCCCTACGTGATAGAATATGGAGAAGGATGGGAATGAGTCGACAGAGTGCTAACTCCTGCTGTCAGTTCTGTCTTTGTGTAGAATGAAAGGTTTCCATGGATGAGACAGAGGCCACCTCCAATATCATCCCTGACCTTCCCCCACCTTCTTCCCACAACACACACACACACACACACACACACTCACACACACACACACATGCACACACATGCAGACCATTGAACTCTCTTGCCAAGGGAGTGCCAGCTTGGTCTGTTCTGGGGACTAAATACAGTTGACACTCTTGCTTGGATGGGTGCAATCGGCAGGGACAATTTTTGCAGCTAATGCTGGAAGTGTGGCAATCAGAGAAGCTGCCAGCTGTCTCACTTAAATTCTTAGCTCTGTCACTCTCTTTTTTTAAAATCGTTTTTGCTTACATAATCCACCCCCTTTTTATTTTCTAATTCTCTCCTTGCAAAGCTGGCACCAGAGGGGAAGGGCTGGGGTGGAGGGGGTAGCAATTATACATCAGTTTGGGGAGCATTTACATTTTGCAATTGCAATTTAAAAATAAGCCTTGTTAATGATCTCCACGTGTCAACGACAAACCCTAACTGACATACAGACTCTCCTGGGCCTGCTCACCTCCCCTGAAGTCAGAGGCTCCATACAGGCAGAGGTACCTAGAGAGACATGGGGGAAGTCAGGGGCAGTATTTGAGGGGTAGCAAGAGCAATATGAGTGTCCTTGAGGTTGGTGGGGGACAGGTATAGAGCCGAGCACCTAGCAACCAGAATTAGGGACTGCAGCTTTTCTCCTCCACCCTGTACTGATGCTCCGTCCTAGCCCATCTTTTTCTAAGCCCTGGCACAGCAGGGCTCAGTGTCCTCAGGGAGCAATGTCAATGCTCAGAGATGTGAGAAAGGGAGCCTCAACTGCTGATACCCACCAAGGGGGGATTTTCAGAGTCCCGTTTTGGCCAGTATAAATCAGAGTTCCAAAGAGCCAGCCATTGCATCTGGATGTTCAGGGACTGGGTAGAGGGGCTGATTCCATGCACAGGGTTTAGGAAGGGAATGGGATTAGTTGTATCCCAGTTTGGGAGAGACACTTCTCCTCTTATCAATCAGTTAATACATACAGGGGGTGCCAAAATAATGTGTACACATTTTAAGAAAGGAAAAAAACTATATTAAAATTACGCTGATGGTAACCACTTTGAGCACTTCTTGTGACTGCAGAAGTCAAATGTAACTTATATTCATCTTTTGTTATTGGTATATATTGAGTATTACAATTTTAATAGTTTTTTTCTTTCTTAAAATGTTTTGGCACCCCTGGTGTGTGTGTGTGTGTGTGTATGCGTCACTTCTTTATCTATTCTTCTACTGATGGCCACTTATGTTTCTTCCATATCTTGGCTATTGTAAATAATGCTGCAATGAACATATGGATGTATATGTCTTTCCAAATTAGTGTTTTGGGTTTCTTCATATAAATACCCAGAAGTAGAATTACTGGGTCCTTCTTTGTCTCTTGTTATAGCCTTTGTTTTAAAGTCTATTTTGTCTGGTATAAGTATTGCTACTCCAGTTTTTGTTTTTGTTTTTGACATCCATTTTCATGAAATACCTTTTTCCATCCCTTTCCTTTCGGTCTATGTGTGTCTTTTGATCTCAAGTGAATCTCTTGTAGGTGTCATATGTAAAGGTCTTGTTTTCTTATCAATTCAGCCACCCTTTTTTTTTTTAAGATTTTTATTGGGGAATTGGGGGGATGGGAACAGCGCTGGGGAATTGGGGGAAGGGGAACAGACAAGTTGCTGTCGTTTTGTTCTTCAGTCTAGTTGTGGAGGACGTTGCTTCACTGGCCCAAGTTGGCACCATCATTGCGCTCTTCCCGGGCGAGGCAGAGCAGTCACCGGCTTCTGGACGGCTGCTCACGGCAGCTGCTGGCCGCTCACGCTGGCTGCTGGCCACACACAGCAGCCCATGGCAACCCACTGCCACAGGGGCTGCAGCCTAAGCCGTCGCCGGCGACTCACGGCAGCCCAGCTCCAGGTTGAGCTGTTTATCAGCATCTTAGCTGTAGAGGGCAGTGTCACTGGCCCTCATATGTGGGATCTGAACCCGGGGCCCTCTGGCGTCCCAAGCGAGTTCTTAACCATCGCGCCACTCGGCCGGCCCCACCCTATGTCTTTTGATTGGAGCACTTAATCCATTACATTTAATGTAATCGTTAATAGATATGTAGTTATTACCATTTTATTATTCATATTTTTTATCTTTTTTTTCCTCTTAAGGAATCCCTTTAATAATTCTTGTAGTACTGGTTTGGTGGTGATGAACTCCTTTGCTTTTTCTTGTCTGGGAAGCTCTTTATCTCTCCTTCAATTCTAAAAGATAGCTCTGCTGGATAGAATAATCTTGGTCGTAGGTCCTTGCTTTTCATTACTTTGAATATTTCCTGCCATTCCCATCTGGCCTGCAAAGCTGATGTTGAGAAATCAGCTGAGTCTTGTGGGAACTCCCTTGTAGGTACCTAACTGCTTTTCTCTTGCTGCTTTTAAGATTCTCTCTTTGTCTTTAAACTTTGGCATTTTAATTATGATGTGTCTTGGTGTGGGATTCTTTGGGTTTATTTTGTTTGAGACTCTCTGTACTTCCTGGGCTTGTAGGTCTATTTCCTTTGCCTGGTTAGGGAAGTTCTCTGTCATTATTTCTTCAAATAGGTTTTCAATTCCTTGTTTTCTCTCTTCTCCTTCTGGTTCCCCTATGATGCAAATGTTGGTACACTTGATGTTGTTCCAGAGGCTCCTTAAACTATCCTCATTTTTTTAAATTCTTTTTTCTTTCTTTCTTTTTTTTTTTTTTTGCTGTTTTGATTGGATGTTTTCTGCTACCTTACCTTCCAAATTGCTGATTCAGTCCGCTGCTTCATCTAATCTACTGTTGATTCCCGCTAATGTAATCTTCATCTTAGTAATTGTATTCTTCATTTCTGACTGGCTCTTTTTTAGGTTTCTATCTCCATTTTTGTTTCCTCTCTTTGTTGAAGTTCTCACTAAGATCATTAAGCATCCATATAACCAAAGTTTTGAACTCTGCATCTGGTAGATTACTTGTCTCCATGTTGTTTAGTTCTTTTTCTGGCACTTTGTTCTGTTCTTTCATTTGGGACATACTTCTTTGTCTCCTCACTTTGGCTGCCTCCTTGTTTTTATTAGGTAAAGCCACTATGTCTCCCAGTCTTGGTACAATAGCCTCATGTAGTAGGTGTCCTGTGGGGCCCAGTGGTGCAGTCTCCCTGGTCACTTAAGCTAGGTGCACCAGGTGTGTCCTTTGTGTGGGTTGTACATGCCCTCTAGTTGAAGTTGAGCCTTGATTGCTGTTGGCACATCAACTCGAAGGATTGACTCTCAGGCTGATTGGTTATGAGGTTTAGCTGTGACTACAGTGGAGGAGCTGTTCTTTAGGGGCTGACCCTACAGAGCAGGGCTTTGGTGCCTGTCCAGTCTGCCCTTTGGGCATGTAATTTGTGGAGGTGGTTGAGTGGTGCTCTGGTGTGATCTGAAGCTGGTCACAGGCATGTGGGCTCTGGGGATTCTTGAGCGGGGCACTGGTGCAGGCCAAGGTCAGCTCCTGCATGTGTCTTGCTTGGAGCCACTTGGTATGATCTACAAAGTAATTTGCAGATGGTTGCCACGTGTGCTGGGCTTGGAGGTGCCTGAGAGAGGCTAAGCTGC